ACCCCTGCTTTGTTCCCCCCATACGCCCTCTGGTCCCTTCCATCCCCCATACACCCCCGCACCCCGCTGTCGCTGGCGTACCCCACTGGCAGACACCCGGGCAGCCAATCCAGGCCTTCTCCCGCGCCGGGAGCGAGGGACTGCCGGGCCCTGTGTTTGGGAGGGGGGTCAGGGCTCCATTGGTCACAGATGGCCTGGGGATTTCCTGGGATAGAATTAGCCATAACCTCTGTTCTCTTTAAGCTGCTTAAGGGGCGGGATGGGAAGGGGAGGACCCGGGCACACCCCCCACGCGTCCCCAGCCGCGCCCCCTGTACCCGCCCGGCCGAGCTCTGTCCCTGAAACGCTGATGGCGGCGAGAAAGCTCTGCCAAAGCCCCAAATTTCGAGGCTGACAGCTGTCCTTCCCCTCTCCTCCCCTCCCCCATCTCCTGTGTCGGCCTAGAGTCCCGTCCTTCCCACTTGCTTCCCCTGGCCCCATTGCTCCGAGGCTCCCCATACCTTGGTGCAAAGGTCATGGTCCCTACTCCTTCCTCCTGGTTTGTGGGCAGGGAGCAGAGCTGCCACAAACCTGATTCAGGGCACAGTGACACAAGGCTATTCTCTCTCTCCTCTAGGGGCAGCCGGCAGAACCCAAGGCCATGTCCCATGAAAAGAGTTTCTTGGTGTCTGGGGACAACTATCCTCCCCCCAACCCTGGATATCCTGGAGGGCCCCAGCCTCCCATGCCCCCCTATGTTCAGCCTCCCTACCCTGGGGCCCCTTACCCTCAGCCCCCTTTCCAGCCCTCCCCCTATGGCCAGCCAGGGTATCCCCATGGCCCCAGCCCCTACCCCCAAGGGGGCTACCCTCAGGGCCCATACCCCCAAGGGGGCTACCCTCAGGGCCCCTACCCTGAAGGAGGATACCCACAGGGCCCATATCCACAGAGCCCCTTTCCCCCAAACCCGTATGGACAACCACAGCCTTTCCCAGCACAGGATCCTGACTGTGAGTAGTGGTGGTTATCCAGGTGTGGTGGGCAGGGCTCTGCTTCCCTCCAGTACAGCTGATCCAGTCCCTTGCTCCCTAGCACCCCAGTGTGGGAACTATCATGAAGAGGGGCCCCCATCCTACTATGACAACCAGGACTTCCCTGCTACCAACTGGGATGACAAGAGCATCCGACAGGCCTTCATCCGAAAGGTAGGACCTGACTGTGGCCTGGGGGGCCCTTGAGGGGTGGCTGGGGGCAGGGCCCTGACTCCCCTCTCTCCCCAGGTGTTCCTGGTGCTGACCCTTCAGCTGTCGGTGACCCTGTCCACGGTAGCCGTGTTCACTTTTGTCGGGGAGGTGAAGGGCTTTGTCCGAAAGAATGTCTGGACCTACTATGTCTCCTATGCCATCTTCTTCATCTCCCTCATTGTCCTCAGCTGTTGTGGGGACTTCCGGCGAAAGCACCCTTGGAATCTTGTGGCACTGGTAACCCCCAAACCTAAGCCCAAGCCTCCCAGACAGTGGAGCAATGGAGGGTGGGAACATGGGTTAGGGCTGGGAGCCCACATACCCATGGCAGGGTGTAACCTCCTCTCCTCCTCCCGTAGTCAATCCTAACTGTCAGCCTGTCCTACATGGTGGGCATGATCGCCAGCTTCTACAACACTGAGGCGGTCATCATGGCTGTGGGGATCACCACAGCTGTCTGCTTCACTGTGGTCATCTTCTCCATGCAGGTGAGAGGTCCCCCAGGGCAGGCCTGTGGTGCTATGGCCCAGGGCCCTTCCTGGGCCTGGCACCTGAAGCCTCCTGTCCCTCTTGCATTCTTCTAGACCCGCTATGACTTCACCTCATGCATGGGCGTGCTCCTGGTTAGTATTGTGGTGCTCTTCATCTTTGCCTTCCTGTGCATCTTCATCCGAAACCGCATCCTGGAGATTGTATATGCCTCGCTGGGTGCCCTGCTCTTTACTTGTGTGAGTAACAGGGTGGGAGCCTTGAGTGGGAGGACAAGTGGCAAGGCTATCTCTCAACACTGCCATTGTCATCCTCAGTTCCTGGCAGTGGACACTCAGCTGCTGCTGGGGAACAAGCAGTTGTCCCTGAGTCCAGAAGAGTATGTGTTTGCAGCTCTGAACCTGTATACAGACATCATCAACATTTTCCTCTACATCCTCACCATCATTGGCCGTGCCAAGGAGTAGCCTGGGCCCTCAGTTCCCTGCTCAGGAGGCATGGCTAGCCAGGATCCTTCCCTGGCATGACAACGCCAACCATATTTCTCTCTCTCTGGTTCCCAGGCATGGCCTGGGGCAGAGCGAGCCCCTCTCTAACCTTCCTATATGTACACAGCAGATATTTGTTTTTGGACCTGCTGTGGCCACAGCATGGCCCCTTCTAGCCCTCTCATCTTGCCAAGGGGCAATGGGGCCACATTTCTGTGCCACCTCCTGTCCAGTCATTTTTGCATGAGCCCTTTTGCCAACCTATCCTAGGGTCTGGGGCAATGCCAGGCCCCAGGGAGAGGGATCGAGTCAAGAGGTGAGGGTGCACGTCTTCCTCCTGTCCCAGCTCCCCAGCCTGGCATAGAGTTTCCCCTTTCCCTCCCCACCCCTCAGCACTGTCTTCTGGGAACACGTGAAGTGGGGGTCTCCTGTACTGAGCCCTGAGCAGAGAGGATGGCATGTTTCAGGGGAGGAGGAAGCCTTCTGCTCGTTCTGCTGTCACTAAAATTCCAATAAACGGAACCTTTTGCTCTCTGCTTCTTCTCATCTCTCCAGTCACTGCCACTTATTCCATGAGGTAGAGAGGAGCTACAGGTAATACCCCTGGCTAATGAAGGGCACTGGGCAAGCACAAATGTGGAGGTGAATGGCAGTACAATAGCTGATCCTGTATCTGTGTCTCTGCCTTCTTTCTTGCCAGCCCCATTTTAAGTGGTGTCCTGAGATTGCTGGTGATGGACAGAAGTCCTGGTCCTTTTGTAAACCCTCAACCTAGCCTATTCTGCACTCCTCTTTGGTCTAAACACATCACTCTGTAGTCCTCACCCACACAGCCCCCTGGGCTCTAAGCAGCTGACTGAATCCCAATTTTCCCACAAACGGTCCGTTGATGCCTGGAGCCCTGCTCTATCTATGCATTCCCCTACCTCCATCCAGGTTCCACTCTGGTCTTCCTTCTGGGACTCTGTGTCCAGCTTAGCATGGACTGCTCCTTCTCCCAGGGCTGCTCCTTCTCCCTGTCTGCCTCTTAGTGCACTTGCTTAATTGGCATCAGTGCCTCAAGTCCACAATAGGACCCCCATACTACAAGCCACCCAGTATCCACAGGTACCTCGGCCTCTCCAAAACCTGCTGTTTCCTGCATTATCTCCCCAGACAGGAAGCAACAGTTCCCCTCCTCCACCTTGCCCCACTTCTCTTTCATCCTCTCTCCCCTTCCTTGTTCAGGCCTCCTTGTGCCTTCCAGCACTCTCTTCCAGGTGTCCTCAGGATAAAGTCTGCATTTTTTAGTCTGGCACATAGACCCTGCCTTCTGCCCACTGCTGCTCTGGCTGCTCTGCTGTCAGCCCAGCCCTGATCTTGCACAGCCTGAGCCATGAGGCTCCATCTTGCAGCGCTGTCACTGTTCACAGCCCCTCTGGCAGGGCTTCCTCCCCTCTGCAGTGACTTAAGCAGGTCCAGTTCCTCCTCCAGGGCACCTGCCTGCAAGTGCTATAAATGTGCTTTTCAGGAGAAGGAGCCAACTTAGGCCTATCTCACAGACCTCTCTGGGTTCTCTAAAGAGGAAAACACTATCTACAAGGCTAAAGAGAACATAAGTGAAGGTCGGAGGAGGAGCCCAGGAATCATTTCCCAGTAAGCTGTGGAAGGGCAGTGTTTGCCAGAAAAAGTTCCAGGACAAAGTTTTAGCTTAGAGAAAGGCGAGGCAGTGTGTGTGTGTGTGTGTGTGTGTGTGTGTGTGTGTGTGGCGTGTGTGTGGCGTGTGTGGTGTGTGGTGTCACAGGATTTGGAGCAAAGGCCCAACTGTAGGAGAGACAGCCAAGGCCCAATGGGCCTACTGGGTAGGTAAAGCCCACTCAGGCAGGAACCACAGTTGGGTTTGTGTTGAGGAAAACAAGGGCAGAAGTAGAATATAGGAGAAGGGCTGAAGACAGGTTGAGATGTGCCAAAAGGAAGCTACAAACAAAAACTCTAGGGCAGAGGCATTTGGGACAGCTTAGCGCTGTAAAGATATCAGACTGAGCTTAGGGCAAGATGCTAGGGGCATTTTTGCCAGCTGAGAGGGAAAAATGAAAAGTCCAAGCATCTGCTGGTTGTTTACATTGATGCACAAAGCTATTATGGGAAAAAAAAATATATATATATAGTGAGGTTACCATATTGATTTTCAGGTGAGAAAAGCCAGGAGCTGGCTAATCTGTGAGGCTTCAGTGCTGCTGAAAGCTGGCTGGAACTTAAAGATAAAGGCCTCTGTGCTGCTGGGAGCTGGCTGGCACCCACAGATAGGCCTTGGTGTTCTCCTGCTTAAAATATAACCAATTTTACAGAACACTGACAGCAGAAAAGTCCCTCTTGTTACTATTCTGGAACAAGAGAAAAACAAGACCCCTCTACAAGCATTATAAACATAGACCAAACAGGCATTGTTCAAATCATAAAAAGATCAAGCAGTGCCCTACTCTGGCTAGTCTGTGTGGCTGCAGTCCCTCACAACTGACAGTTCCCATCTTCCTGCGGTCTGACCTTTTAAATAAGTATCAAGGGCCAGGGATTTCGCTCAGTGGTTCCACCGCGTGCCTCGCAAGCGCAAGGTCCTGAGTTCGATCCCCAGTACCAAAATAATCCAAAACAAACAAATATCAAGACACCTGTTACAAAATAATCCCAGCTTCCTGGCAGCATCCCTCTTGTTCAAAGATGCATCTTTAAACCCTCCCCTGGATCTAGTTAGGTCCTTACAGAATTTCCTCTAAGGAATCCTTTCTAGCTCTCTACCATTGACCCTTCATGGCTTCCCAGAGGTGCATTTGCCCTCCCTTCTATGTGCAGTAATCTGACCTTTACAATTGAGGTGTCCACAGGTGGATTTCATGGGAGAGCATTTACACAGTTAACCATACTAAAGCCAAAGAAGCCCTAGATGTGGTGGCACATACCTGTAATCCTAGCACTCAGAAGGCTGAGGTGGGGGGCGTCACCTGAACTACATAGTGAGACCCTGACTGAAAAAGCAAAACAAGGCTATTGTGGGCTTCCTTTAGATAGCCTGCTCCGTTTCCTCCAGGGTGTACTTTTATCTTGTTTTTTTCTCTTTTACTTGGCTCAAACTCACTCTGTAGAGCCAGTTCCTCCCTCACTCTTTTACGTTTTCAAATAAACTTTGTCACCATTAAAAAAAATTTCAAAAAAACCCTAAAATAAAAAATAGCCAGGCCTGTAATCTCAGCATTCAGAAGGCTGAGATACAAAGATTGCCATGAGTTTGAGGCCAACCTGAGCTACCTAGTGAGTTCAAGGCCAACCTGAATTACTGATCAAGACCCTGTCTCTAAATAAAGCCAAAGAAGGTGAATTTGTTTTTCAATGAAAACCTTATTTACATAAGTAACAATCCACTCATTTTCAAAGTTCAATCACACCAGCATCTGTGGAACAAAATGTTCAAATCTCTGCCACCTTCCCCACCCTAAAGAGCAAGATTGTTGTCAGTGTCTGTTGAAAAGCACAGTAGGGGCAGACCTGGACTCCAGCTGACCAACACCAGCACAGGTATTCTGCGACTATTTCTGGTTCACCAGGGCTGCTGGTCAGCATCTCTGGGTTGGAAGTACTTTCAGGACAGAGTTGGTGATCTGTGATTTTTAACACCCAGCCCAGCATCTAACCATTGCCTGACACACTCCAGTGGAAAACATGGAATGAATGAATGAGTGAACTCTACATGGCATGAGCCACACAAGCACCACCTCAGGACCAGGAACAGATAAGGTGCAGACTTCAGGACTTCCACTCAGTGTCAACATTTATGAGGAGGAATTTCAGAATCCAGGGCAGCAGAACTAAAAGCCGAAGGGCATTTGTGGGAGGGAGGAAAGGATGCATGGGAGAGGCACACAAGTCGCTGAGCAGGTGAATGGAGACCAGGGTGGACAGCCACAGGTAGAAAGCTCAAAAGTCTGAAGTGTGTTTTGTAGGGAGTGAAGAGCTCAAATCGGTTTGAACGGAGGCAGGAAGATTGGTGAGGACTATGGTGATGGTGCAGGCAGGGAGGACCTGTACTTGGGGCAGAAGGAGGATGGGAATGCAAGAGCTGATGAAGCCCTGGTCATAGCCCTGCAGCCTCCCAGGCACCCCTTCCCCAACATCAATTCCTAGGCAGCAGAATGGCTTGGCACCAAAACATTCCATGGACATCATCTTTGTCTCAGGTGGTGGGGCACTGCAGACCTTTCAGAATGCCCACAATGCAGTATCATCATACACACACATTCCAGCTTCTGAACTCTAATCTTCACTCCTAAATACTCTTTTTTCCTAGAGGCCCCACACTCTCCAGCCCCACTTCACCCTATCGCCCACATCTGCCTTCTCATGACTGTCTCTTCCAAACCTTGAGGTTCTTATGCAGTTCCTTCCTCCTCCCTTCTTTCCATGTTGGCTGGGTTTTCACTGTTACCCAGTAGTTTCCTGGTTCTGGAAGGATTCTGGTACCAGGCTCAAAACCCTATTCTACATCAACTGCTATCATGACTTCTGGGCATTCAGGGTCTATCTTCTGAATGCTGCTCTGATATAAGCCCTGCTATCAAGTCAAGGCCACGATTATCTCTACAGCAGCCCACAAAGGGATCTTTCTGAAGGGTAGCCAGATAAAGTCACTTCCCTACTTAAACACCTTCAAGAGATTTCAAGCAAGACGGTGGACTAAACTGACCTGGGATCTGAACTCAGGTTCTACACACATAAAATTGCTAGATAAAACATTTTTAAATATTTTTGAGACAGAATCATCAGGCGTTAAAGGCCAACCTAGGCTACACAGGGTTCACGGCCAGTCTGAATTGCATAGTGAGACCCTGTCTCAAAAAATATTTAAATATTAATAGCTATGGGCCGGGGATTTAGCACAGTGGTTCCGCCACCTGCCTAGCAAGCATAAGGTTCGATCCCCAGTAGCAAAATAAATTTTAAAAATAAAATAAATATTAATAGTTGAGCAGGAGTGCAAGAAATAAAGATAAAGAGAGACCAGCTATGAGGAAAGAGTAGTGGTTGTGTGATTGGCAGCAGACACAATGAGACCAGGATTCACATTCAGGACCCACAGAGGATGGAGCCTGGTGAGACTGCAACTGTGTGTGTGTGTGTGTGTGTGTGTGCCCACACTCAGAAGTGAACCCAGGACCTTGGGCTAGGCAAGCCCTCTTCCACTAAACTATGTCCTCAGAGCTTTTAAAAATTTTATTTTGAAAGACCAGGGATTTAGCTCAGTGGTGCCACTGCCTGCTTTGCAAGCACAAGGTCCAGAGTTCGATCCCCAGTACCAAAAACAAAAACAAATATTTATTTTGAGGTAGGCTCTTGATAAGTTGCCTAGGTGGCCTTGAACTTGCAATCCTCCTGCCTCAGCTTCCTCAGTAGCTGAAATTACAGGTGTATGCTATTGTACTCAGTCAAGATGAATTCTTTTTGGGATTAAAAAAAAATCATTCAGAACCGCTGCAATGTTGTAGACACATTTGTCATCTATTACAAA